GATAACCCTCAGGTGAAGGAGATCCGTTGTATTGTGATGGTGCCACAGTGGGGCACTCACCAGACTGTGCACCTGCCCAGCCAGCTGCCCCAGCATGAGTACCTCAAGGTTTGTTGGTAGAGCCTGGGATTGCACTTACTGTCATGTTACCCCAGTGGGTGACATTTGTCTACAGATGAGTTGATCATCTCTTTATTGTTCTTTGCCTACAGGAGATGGAACCCTTAGGTTGGATCCACACTCAGCCCAATGAATCCCCCCAGCTGTCACCCCAAGATGTCACCACTCATGCCAAAATCATGGCTGACAACCCATCTTGGGATGGGGAGAAGACTATTATCATCACCTGCAGGTTGGTGTGGGCCTCCTTGGGTGGAAGTATTATAGGGCAGGCATTGCAGGCCAGGACCTGGATTGGTGGCTTGAGTGCTTAGCCTGTCCCTCTCCCCCCAACAACCTCCCCAGCTTCACACCAGGCTCCTGCACACTGACAGCCTACAAGCTGACCCCCAGTGGGTATGAGTGGGGACGGCAGAACACAGACAAAGGCAACAACCCCAAAGGCTACTTACCTTCGCACTATGAGAGGGTTCAGATGCTCCTGTCAGACCGATTCCTCGGCTTCTTTATGGTCCCTGCCCAGTCTTCCTGGAACTACAACTTTATGGGTACGTGGCTGTGTGTGACAGCAGCCGAGGAAGTGTGGGGGTTGAGACAGGTGACCAGCATGCTTGGCTCTTGAAGTCTGGCTGCCTTGGAAATGGCCCAGGGCTCCAGGCTGGGTGAGGCAGGCAGACCCTTATTAACATCTGATGTTTCCCTCTCCCATAAGGTGTTCGACATGATCCCAACATGAAATACGAGCTGCAGCTGGCAAACCCCAAGGAATTCTACCATGAAGTCCACAGGCCTTCCCACTTCCTCAACTTTGCCCTCCTACAGGAGGGTGAGGTCTACTCTGCAGACAGAGAGGACCTCTATGCCTAGCTCTTCCTTCTGCTTCAGAGTCCCGAAGCCTGGAGCCTCTTAAACGCCCTCCCCGCGCTGCTGACATTCAGCAGCCTGCCCCTTGTGGTTTGTGCTCGTGTTGTTGAGAAATTGTAATCCTGAACAAATGTAATAAATTTTATAAATAGGAGCGCTTTTGTTCTCTTGCTATTATGAGGTCAAATTCTGGGTGTAGATGTTTGAGGATTGGGGACTAGCTTTGGCAGTTCACAGCAATGTACTGGGCCCTGCCCTCAGGGCCTTGAGTTCCTCTCCATGAGGCTTTGAGGCTCCATATACCCTAGACTCCGGGAGCTGAGTTGGGGCTGGTTTATTACCTCAGCATATTTGCTGGTTTCTCTGTAAAAGTACTTGGAAACTACCTATTTTCAACATCACTTCTAGGACTATGTGGTCCTTCTGTAGCTGTAGTGCCCAGCCTAGTTCATTTGTAAACTTTGTGTGGTTCCTGGTGGGGTAACATACTTAAGTGGCTGTCCCTGCCGTCCAGTAGCGGCTGTTTGCTGACCTTCAGTCTTTCACCTCTCTGGAGTGCTTGGCAGCCAAATCCAGGGGTGGAGCCTGGATCAGGCGCTATGGGAAGGACTTGCCTCAAGTGACCACTTACAGCCCTAGTCCTCAAATCTTGGATACCTGCCTGAAGTTGGCCGACCTGTATCCAGTGACCTTGTAGGGCTCAAGGAGTCCAGCGCACTCTCCCACCCCAGGGCCTTTTCCCCTATTTGTTCCTCCCTTGTTGCTTCTACCCCGCCCCTTATAGCCCTAAACTTCCTGGGCCGGAACTGTTAAGCTTTTTTCTGCCCCTGCTGAGGGTGTGGATGGCTTTTGACCTTAAGAGAGGAAAAAAATGGAGCCCAGGAGGGCAGCGCCCGGGCTACCCAGCCAGGCCTCTTCAGTGGGCGCGGGGTCAGCAGCCGAGCTCGTGTACCATCTAGCGGGGGCTCTGGGCACTGAGCTACAGGAACTGGCACGCCGTTTCGGACCCGACGCGGCGGCTGGGCTGGTGCCGCTAGTAGTGCGGGCGCTGGAGCTCTTGGAAAAGGCCGCTGTGGGGCCGGCTCCGGACTCGGTGAGTCACCGGCGCCTCCTTTTACCCCTGGGAGCCGGCAGGCCTAGCCCTGAGACCCCCGGCTCCCCCCAGCTGCAGGTATCCGCACAGCAGGCCGAAGTGGAACTGCGGCGGCTGCGCGAGGAGAACCAGCGCCTCCGCCGGGAGCTAGGCTCCGGGCCGCAGGGTGAGTGAGGGTCCCATCCGAGCAGAGCGAGCTGGGGGCAGCCGAGGCCTGCGTACCCCACAGACCAGTGGTGCTAAAACACTCCTTCCTCAGAGGAGCGCGCGCTGCTCCGACAACTCAAGGAGGTGACAGATAAACAGCGAGATGAGCTTCGGGCACACAACCGAGATCTGCTGCGCCGAAGCCAAGAGACCGAGGCGGTGAGGGCGGGGCCAGACGGGAGCGGGAAGTGGGGCGGGGCCGCTGCGGGCCTCGGAGCCCCGCCCTCTAGCTCTCTCGCTCCACCCTCAGCTGCAGGAACAGCTGCAGCGCCTCCTGCTGATCAACTCTGAGCTGCGGCACAAGCTGGCTGCAGTGCAGACCCAATTGAGGGCGGCGCAGGACCGGGAGAGGGAGCGCCACCAGATAGCTCAGGATAACTCCCAACAGCTGGCTAAAGAACAGAGCTTGGAGCCGGTTGCGGCAACCCCAGATGACCCGGTGAGAGCCGGAGCGGAGTCAAAATACATCCCAGACCTCACAGCATTCAGCAGTTGGTGACCCAGCCTAGGTTTCCCCTGCGTGGGTGTGCCATGAAGTTTAGAAGGTACCTAGGAAGTTGGAAGGCAGCAACAGCAGTTGTTGGCCACCTATGTAGCAGCAACCTTGTCCTCTAAGTTTTCCTAGTAGACACTTCCCCTAATATTATTGTGAGCGCTGGGACTTAGGAGAAAACCAAGAGAGATTGCTCTCCGACCATTCCTGACCTCACACAGGTGGATACTCAGAAGCAGCCAGGGAGCCCTCCAGAGGCTGTCCAGTGTGGATTCAGCAGGGAAGAGGTTGAGCAGATCCTTCAGGAGCGGAATGAGCTCAAAGCCAACGTGTTCTTGCTCAAGGAGGAGTTGGCGTATTTCCAGCGGTGAGGGACCAGAAGCCAGGATGCCTGTTCCTGGTCACTCCACCTTTTTTTTTTTTTTTGGATCATTTATAGATCAGCAGTGACAATTGCCAGTGTCCTGCTCAGACACCTGTAAGAAGTCATTTCCATAGTCCTTGCCCTTCTGGAAACTCATTCAAACAGGGCAGCACCAGGGTCACCAAGCTGAAGCAGCAAGCCTTCTCCTTAGGAGGGGCCATATAAGCTCAGTTCAGAGGTATTGACAGTATAGCACTTCCGCATGTTTCCAGGGGAAACAGTGAGCAGAGGTCAGGTATTTGATTGACACCTCCTGTTGGCGTTCCCACTCTCTTCCCTTTCCTCTTCTCTAGAGAGCTGCTCACAGATCACCGGGTCCCTGGGCTTCTGCTTGAAGCCATGAAGGTGGCAGTCAAGAAACAGAGGAGGAAGATCAAGGCCAAGATGTTGGGGACACCAGAAGAAGCAGAGAGCAGGTAAGATCCTGCCTCCATGCCCACCGAACAAACCCCTTAGCCTGCTGCAGTTCTGCTATGCCCAATGATGCAACTTAGCCATGCCCTGCCCCTCACTAAGCCTGTCCAGCTGCCATCCTATCCTCTTTAACCCACTGCTCCCACTTGCTCTGGCTGCTGTGCGTCCTGCTGAAGAAACTGTTGATGCTACTTCCCCAGACTCAGGTTTCCTTCCTTGGCTGGATCTCTTTATTAAAGGAAGCTGTGCAGCCTTGTGAAGGGCTGTTATCTGCCAGGCTGTAAAGTGTCCTTGATCCCCTCAGTGTCCCCTCTCCAGCTCTGAGACCTTGTAGTCACTTCGTCCTCCCGTGATGTTCCTGAAAGTCCTTCAGGAGGTGCCACGTGAGCTGGACTCATAGTATCCCTTAGGCCCTGATATACAGCCCTTGCATTTCTTTATCCTAGTGATGATGACGATGGCTCCTGGCTCCTGCTCTCCAACAACAAGGAAGATGTTCCCCTAGTTCCTGGGTCCAGAATCCAGAATTTGTATGTTGGAGGAGGGGAGGAGAGGAGGGTGGAGGAGGGGCCTGCCTGGCTCTTCTCCACCCTTCCTCTCTGCTCCACTACCTTTCATGCTGTTCTAAGATCTGTCTTACCTCCTGTTTCTCTGTCCCATGTGCCTTCATTTCTCTGAGACCTATGCTGTCCTCTTTCCTCCAAAACCCCCTTTTCACCTATCTCGACCCTCAGCCTACATCCTTGACATCTCTGCCTCCCTGGCTCAATGTTCCTCTCTTGGCTCTCCTTCCAGCTTTGGCTTATGGTATCGGGGTGAAACTGAGGCCCCTGAAGCTGAGACCAGCGACACAGCTCCTAGCAGGCTGCAGGAAGGAGAAGAGGCTCCACAGCAACCCCACCTGCAACCTGTGGACAGCCTTCCAGCCCCCAATTCCTGACTAGTTCTCTGCTTTCAATGAACATCTTGGTCTGAGGGCTTCAGTTATTCAGGAAGCTTAACTCTGGGTTCCAGCTAACTGCATGGATGTGTGACCTCAAATGAGGATGAAGCTCCGCCCCACATGCCCTCCCCCACCTAGCCTGTGGTAGGCATGATGGAACTTTAGCCTGTCTCCCCTTCTTGACATCTCTGTACCACACTTCAGAGTCAGAGGTAAAGGTATCTCTGAACTCTGCTTTTTCCCATTGTGAGACAAAGGGCTGCCAGCCTGCCTCCCTGGGGCTTGTGCAGGTGACCAGTGCAATAAATACCCATAGTAACCCTAAAAATGTTCTTGGTCTGTCTGTCGGTGGTCCATGTTACCTCCCAGCTGTGGCAGGAACAGAGGCATGGCGATGTTTCATTAGAAGATCTCCTCGGCTCCTCACTGAGGATAAGAAACATCTCCTTATTTGGGGGGTGTGGCTCCTACCCCCACCCCATTCCTTTGCCTGTCTCCAATGTTTAGGGAACCCGTGGCTTCAATCTTCTGGCCTCCTCCTGGCTGAATCCACTCAGTTTTCACTATTTTCAGTCAGCCCTATTTTCCCTTTCGCTTCTATGTGCTAAGCTGCCTGCCCTCTCAGGGAGGTGCCTCGTAGCAGCCCGCCCTCTATCCTGGCTTCCTCAGGAAAAGCCTTGGGAGGAAGCAGGGAGGGGGTTGGGAGCTGTGGGGACCAGATGAAACCAGGCCCTCCTACTATGCTGGCCGCCATGGGACTAGGGTTGGTGTTCTCACTGCTGCTCTGGACTCGGGGGACCCAGGGATCCACGCTAGACCCAACTGGTCAGCACGTCTGTGTAGGCAGCAGGTGGGTCTTGTGGGAGTCTGGTTGATATGGTGGCTGACTAGTGTTGAGTCATTTTGGAAAATAAAGAGGTGGGTAGGAGGGTTTGGGCCTCAAGAAGGGGACTTTGAGAGGCAGCCTGGCAGGTGATAGATGGTCATGCAGATGGTGGGGAGGTCAGGGAAGGGAAAAAGAAGGGTTGGGGACATGGTACTGAGACTCACGGCCTGTGACACTGGGCTAGACTTCCTAAGTGGAGCTGGGGAAGACTCCCACATCTCAGTCAGAGTCAGTGACCCACCCAATGGGCTCTGCCTCATTTCTACCCCACAGCCCCTCTGAGCTCCAGTGCTGTCCCGGCTGGAGGCAGAAAGATCAAGAATGCACCATCCGTGAGTAGCCAAGACAGTCCCCTATCCAAGGAAAAGAAAGGATGTGACCCAATGACAATCTTTCTACTTTATCTCCCCTCCTGAGCCCTGGAAGCAATGTCCACCCTGTGACATATTACTGCTCTCCAGCACAAAGGATGGCTTTGAAGGGAGCGGAACCCCAGGAGTGGGTGAAAGGGCCAGGGGTGTCCTTTATTTGTTTGTCCCCCAGTCCTTTCAATCCCGGGGACGGGGTATTTTTCAGCCATCTGTGAGGGGTCTGATGCCTGCAGGAAGGATGAGGTATGCGTGAAGCCGGGTCTCTGTCGATGTAAACCTGGATTCTTCGGAGCCCAGTGCAGCTCTCGTGAGTTTTAACGCCTGGGTGACAACTGGGTAAGGGGCAGGAAGTAGGCAAGGCAAGTAGAGATGTGAATATAGAATGGTAAGGTCAGGATTACCTAAGCTTCACTTAGAAAGTGGGCTCGGAAATGAGAAGTGATCCTGGAAACGGCCCTGGGTTTTAACCCACAGCCAGAAAAACCCTGCTTATACGGAACCTTCACTTTTAACTTCTCAGTAAAGACAAATAAAGAGATGCCAAGGGCGTGGGCCTGTGATTCTCCACTTTCCGTACCTCATGCTTGAATGACGGGTAGAAGGTACCTGGAACTAGGCTCTCAAGGGGTGAGTGGCAGGCAGCAAGCATCCTTGGGTTGGTAGGGGACATATGTACTTTCCTGCTACACTGGTAGGCATCTTCTACCTAACATTCAGATGCCAGTGATGGCCAAGGACAGGGAGACACCTTAGCAGAGAGAAGGAAGGGACATGAATGACATCCCATCCACCTGGGAGCCTGGGTACATCACTGTCAAACTCAGGATCTGTGTACTGGAATGGGAAATGGAAGCTAAGCCAGGACTAAGGGTTTTGTCGTCTGAATCTGGGGCCGGAAATGAGCTGAGTCCCAGGAGAAGAGACTGCCAGATGTTCTCAGGGTCTGTCCTTGCCTCTTGAAGGGCAAGCCTGTGTCTTCTTCCTTGAGGAAGGGTCAGGGAAAGGACCTGTGCCCAGCCCTGAACCCGGTTATCTCCCATTCCTAACCTAACAGGCTGTCCAGGCCAGTACTGGGGCCACGACTGTCGTGAGACCTGCCCCTGCCATCCACGTGGCCAGTGTGAACCAGCCACGGGTGTGTGCCAGTGCCAGCCCAACTACTGGGGCAAGCTCTGTGAGTTCCCCTGCAACTGCGGCTCCCACGGACAGTGTGATCCAAAGACGGGCTTGTGCCACTGCGACCCCGGCTGGTGGGCACCCACGTGTCGTCGCCCGTGTCAGTGCAACCCAGCGGCGCGCTGTGACCAGGCCACTGGAGCCTGCATATGCCCGACGGGCTTGTGGGGCCACCGCTGCAGCTTCAACTGCAAGTGCAACACCTCGCCCTGCGTGCAGGACACCGGCCGCTGCATCTGCCAGCAGGGCTGGTGGGGTCCGGAGTGTAATCGTAAGTGCCAGTGTGTACGAGGCCAATGCAGCGTTACTTCCGGCCACTGCTCCTGCCCTCCTGGCTTCCATGGAGTACGCTGTGAGCTGCCTTGCAGCCCTGGCCACTATGGGGCACAGTGCAAAGAAAGGTAAGTCAACAACAGGGTAAGGGCTGGGCAAGAAATAGGACAGGTATACAGAGGGGGTTATCTCAGGCAATCTCTAAAAACAAGGATGAAAGAAAAAAAAAACCCACATCCATGCATCTGGGTCTATTTATGCCTTCTTCTCTCAGCCCATCAATGCTAAAAAGTACAAACCACCAGCTGGAGAGAGAGCACAGTAGTTAAGACTTCATTGTGCTGCTCTTTCAGAGGGCCTAAGTGTTCTCGGTTGTTCTCGGGACCCATATCTGTTCCCCTCTGCTGATGAGTAACTGCACTCATGTGTACATATCCCCACAAACACACACACACACACACACACATTTTTTTTTTCTGAGCATAATAGTATATGCCTTTAATCCCAGCTCTGGTGAATAGAAGCTGGTAAATCTCTGTGTATTTGAGGCCAGCTAATTTGTGTAGTTCTAGGACATCCAGAACTACATAGTGAAACTCTGTCTCAAAAAAAAAATGTACATGTATGTGTGTGTATATGTATTTATATATAGCTCCCCTGTAATCCCAGCACTCAGGAAGCTGAAGCAAGAGGATTCCCTGTGAGATTACAAGTTCCTAGCCTGGTTTACATAGCAAGTCCAAGTCAGCCAGCATTACATAAGTGAGACTCAAAAAAAGAAAAACTGCTGTCCAGCCTGTTGGGGCTGGATAGGCCTCCGATGTCAGCACGTGGAAGGCAGAAGAAGCATAGGATCATGCATTAGATGTCAGCCTGTGCCACATACTGAGGTGGCAAGGCCATCTGTGGGATCAGTAGTAACAATACAGGCTGGAGGCAGGAGGATCACTTTGATATCATCTTTGGCAACACAGTAAGTCTGAGGCTAGCCTGGGCCACATGAAGACACTATCAATGATCCCCCTCCCTCGAAGCTGCAACAAGCTCTATGTAGAACAAGGCATGGGTCTGGGGATACAGATCAGTAGTAGAGACAGCTGGCCTGGCATGCACTAAGTTCAAGGTTTGGTTTCTACCACAGAAAGATCAGGGAGCAAATGTAGAGTAAGACATTATATCCCATAATTCATAGTAAGTATTTGAAACAACCTGAGTCAAAATGTAAGCATACAACACAAACTCAGCCTTTCCTAAAAACGAATAAGAATGTAATGCAGTCTTTTTCTTTGCTTTCTTGCTTGCTTCCTTCCTGTCTTTGGTTTGGTTTGTTTTGGTGTAGGTTCCAATCTCTTGTCTCTTGTGGCTTAGACTGACCTCAAACGCCTGATCCTCCTGACTCTACCCCCAAGCCCACGGACCGCAGCAGTCAGCTCCTCCCCACCTCTTTTCTTTGATATTTTTGAGACAGGGTCTCACTCTGTAGCCCAGACAGGCCTGGGACTCACTCTATAACCCAGGCAATCGTCCCTCCTCTGCTTCCTAAGCACTAGGATTTCAGGTCCAAACTGCAACTCCCAGCTTGTAATAAATGCCACACAGACACACACACACACACACACACACACACACACGCCTCCAATGCTAGTCAGAATCAGACAAACTGATTTTTTTAAAGATTTATTTATTTATTTATTTATTTATTTATTTATTTGTTATGTTTAGTGTTCTGCCTGCTTGCCAGGCAACTGCAGGCCAGAAGAGGGCACCAGATCTCATTATAGATGGTTGTGAGCCACCATGCTGTTGTTGGGAATTGAACTCATGACCTCTGAAAGAGCAGTCAGTGCTCTTAACTCTGAGCCATCTCTCCAGCCCTGTTGTTTTGTTTGTTTTTGTTTTTTTTTTTTTTAAGACAAGTTCTTTTTGTGTATCTCAGGCCACTGTTCACTTTGCAGAGGTCTTTCTACCTCTGCCCCTGGAGCGCTGGAGTTGTGAACATGGGCCACCACACCCAGCTCAGCTAAACTGATTTTATGATCACTCTTTTTCCCTGATAATGGATCCCAGATGATCAAGTGTCAGCAGAGAACAATCAAGTTCTGTTAGCATCACTGGAAATTTAAGATGAGTTAATCCTGAAACTATCATGATGAAATAATTTCTATTTTCTTTAAATTTTCATTTATTTATTTTTTTAATTTTTTTTTAAATCCTTATTTTTATTTTACACATGTGGGTGTTTTTCCAGTATGAATGCCTGTGCACTAAATGCCTGCAGAGTCCCGAGGAGGACACCAGATCCCCTAGAGTTGGAGTTATATACAGCCTTGAGTCATCATGTGGGTGCTGGAAACTGAACCCTGTACTAACAGTGGTTCTCAACCTATTAAAGCTTCCACCCTTTAATACAGGTGCTCGTGATGTGGTGACTCCCCAACCATAAAATTATCCTCACTTCTATTTCATAGCTGTAATTTTGCTGCCATTATGAATTGTGATGTAAATATCCGGTATGCAGGACGTCTGACATGTGACCCTTGTGAAAGGGTCTTTCAATGCCCTGAGAGGGGTTATGACTCACAGGCTGAGAACTGCTGTTGCTCTACTAGGACAACAAGTGTTCCTAACTATTGAGCCATCTCTCTAGTATTTCTTTTTGGGACAAGATCTCACTATATACCCCAGGTTGACTTCAAACTCAGAGATCTGCCTGCTTCTGCCTCGGCCCTGCTACACGATTTTTTCTGGTGCTGGAATTTAAGGCCTGTGTCATAATGGCCGGCATTATTTTTTACAAAGACAGAATCTTGGATGGCTGGAAAGACGGCTCAGCAGCGAAGAGCACTCACTGGCTGCTCGCACAGAGAACCAGGGTTTGATTCTCAGCACACGCATGATGCCTTGAAATCATCTGGAACACCAGTTTCAGGAGAGCTGAAGCCCTCTTCTGGTTTCCTTGGTCACCAGGCACTGGAGTGTTGCACAAACATGCAAGAAAAAAAAAAGAAAGAAAGAAAGAAAGAAAGAAAAAGAAAGGGTTTTTAGTGGCTTTGAAAGCTGTACCGTGGTGGGGCACGCCTTTAATCCCAGCACTTGGGAGGCAGAGGCAGGCGGATTTCTGAGTTCGAGAGTTCGAGGCTAGCCTGGTCTACAGAGTGAGTTCCAAGACAGCCAGGGCTACTCAGAGAAACCCTGTCTCGAAAAAACCAAAAAGAAAAAAAAAAATGGGGCTGGAGAGATGGCTCAGTGGTTAAGAGCATTGACTGCACTTCCAGAGGTCCTGAGTTCAAATCCCAGCAACCACATGGTGGCTCACAACCATCTGTAATGAGATCTGATGCCCTCTTCTGGTGTGTCTGAAGACAGCTACAGTGTATTCATATATAATAAATAAATAAATCTTTAAAAAAAAAAAAAGAAAAAAAGAAAAAAAAATGAAAGCTGTACCATGTGTGTGTTCAGGAAGAATGAGTCTGTAGACTTTTTTGTTATAGTTAAATTAATATACCCTTAAAAAATAAATAAAAAAGGAAAGGGTCTCTGTATGTTACCCAGGCTAGTCTCAAACTCCTGTGTTCAGGTGACTCTCCTCTCAACAGCCTCCTAAGTGGTTTCTTATGACACTTGTCTGCCCCCAGCCGCTCAGTCCTAACCTCAGAGATGGTATAGTATGGGAACCAGAACAGAGAAAGGGGGTGGAGGGAGAAGGGGGCTGAGTGGGAGGGAAGTGAGGGGTGGGAAGTAACTTGGCTGCTCTGGCTGAGCTGGTGGCTCCCAGCATCCTTTGTAAACCCAGGGAAGGATGAGTCACAGAACAGGGAGTCAGGAGTGAGGTAGAGACCTGTGATCCCTCAGAGATAGATCTTCTGCTCAACCTTTCCAGTGTACAACACAGAGAAACTGAGGCTTCAGCCTGAGTGATCCATCTGGGACCCAGATTTCCCCAGTGCCCTGAGTCCTGACAATGTGTGCAGTTCACAGGGTGGAAGGTATGGCTCTCAGTGCTCCCATGATCCCTTTCTCTTGCCAGCTGTGGCCACTGTGAGCCGAATGCCACGTGCTCTCCAGTCACCGGCAACTGTGAGTCCTGCAAGCCAGGCTGGAACGGGACTCAGTGCAAGCAGCCATGTCCTCCAGGCACCTTTGGTGAGAGGTGCACTGGGCAGTGCCCCCGCTGCTGGCTTGGAGAGCCCTGTCAAGCAGAAACTGGGCACTGCCAGCGCTGCGACCCTGGTTGGCTAGGGCACAGGTAAGGGAGGTGCTACCTTGCTCTGAACATATTTTTCTCCTCAACCCCTCCTCTCAACTGTTCTTTCTGGGAGGACTGGCACTTACACAAAGTTCACATTCACACAGCTCAGGGACTGCCTCCTGGCCTGGCTGAGGGGAAGAGGAGGATCTGAGGGGGGTCTGGGAAGGGTGTACATATAGCTGCCTCCTCCCTAGTCTTTTCCTTCTCCCTCAGGGACCTGCAGTTTGTCACCCACTTGGGTTTGGCTCCAGCTTCAAGGCCATGTATACTTGAGCTTTGCTTCAGGGGAACGGCCCTTTTGGGAACCCATGTCCAGGATGATGGGAGAGGTTGTAGGACCTTCCTGCCCTCCCAGTTCTGAGTCTTGCTTCCCTCATGTAACCTCAGGTGTGAGAACCCTTGTCCCCTTGGTACCTTTGGGAAGGGCTGCAGCTCTACCTGCCCCGCCTGTGTTCAGGGGACTTGTGATGCAGTGACTGGGGAATGTGTCTGCAGTGCTGGCTACTGGGGGACCAGGTAAGCACTAGGCCTTGGGGACATGGGATTATGGGAGATGAGGTCAGACCTCTGTGTAATGTTTCTTAGATTTCCCTCACTAAGCCTCTCCACTTCTCAGAAACCCTCTCTTGACCCTATAATGAAGATGTTAGTTCTCCTGTGCAGGATGGCATCTTCAGAGGAAACCCAGAGGTTAATAATCTAAGAGGACTAAAAAATAAATGAAACTTTTTAAAAGGAAAGAAAAGTAAAAATATTTTTTAATGATTTATTTATTTAATGTATGTGAGTACACCATTGCTGTCTTCAGACACACCAGAAGAGGGCACCAGACCCCCATTACAGATGGTTGTGAGCCACCATGTGGTTGCTGGGAATTGAACTCAGGACCTCTGGAAGAGCAGTCAGCACTCTTAACCACTGAACCATCTCTCCAGCCCTCTAAAAATAATTTTTAAAGGGAAAGGAAAATATCAGGAGGCAAAAAGGAATTGGCGCCTCATTCAGATGAGGATTTGCTTAGGGGTGGGACCCGGATCCCACTGGTGCTCTTCTAGTTCTTCAGGATCAAGCAGTCAGCGACTCCAGGCAGATGTCTATCTAGAGAACAACACATAGGGTCATGTGGAGGAGACCTGTTTTACAAAGAAAGGGATGGTGGTCCAGGAGTTAGGGGAAGGGCTGGTCTTGATGCAAGGCTTCTTGGTCCTCCCACAAGGCTGAAGGATAAGGGCTGTCACTCAAAGTCTCTACAGTGAAGCACTCTCAACACTACAGGGCCACTTAGGATGTGACTTAGAAGTCAGAAGGGTCTTCTGGCAGGACCTGGGGACAGTATCCAGAAATCTACTATACCTTCCCCTCTGCAGTGCCTTTAGCTGTCTTTCCTATATGTACCCCCTAGCTGCAATAGTTCCTGCCCATCTGGCTTCCACGGAAACAACTGCTCTATCCCCTGCCAATGCCCAGAAGGGCTCTGCCACCCCGTGTCTGGGGCCTGCCAGCTGGGTAAGTGAAGGGAGCATGAAGGAACATTTGGTCATTTCCATGGCTGCAGGAGTCTCAGTGGCAGGGAAGGATTGGGCACACTTCAAGATGGGATCCTCAAAGGTCCTGAATGTGCGCCCATCTGCCATGTTCCTAGGCCGTCATGGTAAAAACGCCCTCATTGTGGGCATCCTGGTCCCTCTGCTGCTGCTCCTCATGGGCATCATCTGCTGTGCCTACTGCTGCTCAGCCACCCGACTGGACCCCAAGGACAGGTAAACACTAGCCACTATGCAGGTTTCTTTGGGATGGGGAAGAGCTGAACTTGTCACTCTTCAGGTAGTGACATAGACTGAAGCTTGACTTTTGACAAGGAAGTGTCTGAGTCACATGAACATGAGCAGGGGTACTGGGTGGCAGGGGACTCAGAGTCACACCTGCAGCAGAACGCTGAGCTCGTGACAGCGCTGCAAGGGCTGGGACAGAGGTGAATCCACACAGTTCAGCAGAGAAGGGAAGAGACCAGATTTCAAACCATCAAGAGAGAAGTCCAAGCTGTGGTTTTGAAGAGAGCACAGTCTGAGGGATAGATTATGGAGGAAGGACTGGTGAGGCCCAGAAGAATGTGTTCATCTTCACATCTCTTGGTCCTTGGACATACCACATCATGGAAGTCTGGAACAGGGAATGTGGTGATGGAGGGTTCATTTCTTCAATCTACAAAGATCCTGAGGCTCATGGGGTCTCAGCTGCTCTGGGCTCATACAGAGGCCCTGTCTGGCTTTTTGGACTCTCTGTCTGGTGTTCTTTCTCCTCCATCATGCTAGGAATGAGACCCAGGGTTTGCTTATGCTAAGCAAGTGCTCTACTACCAAGCTCACCCTCAGCCTTGTCTGTTTGCTTGCTTTTTGATAAAATACTTCACCATGTAGCTCAGGCTGTCATGAAGTGGATATCTTCATGCCTCAGCCATTCGAGTGCTAGGAGTCTGGGAATGTGCCACCACACTAGGCCCCGATCCTTGATTCTGTCCTCTGTGTTGTGGGTATTCATGATGATCATACAGCCTGGGGGCAAGGAAGATGCTCACCCTCTACCCTCCAGAAGAAGATGAGGACTTGTCCAAAGGCTGTCAGAGAACTCTGACAAACTGTCCCTTCAGTTTGGAGATGCAGTAGAGTGGGCAGCAAGAGTGGGTTTCAGCTAGGATGATAGTCCTAAGAGCTACATTTTTGAGAAACCATTGCAGGTATTAGTATTAGTACTTGGTTTTGGGCCGTGCCAAACCTTCTGTCAGATTTACAACTGAGGCCAAGAAAAGTGAAATCAGAGCCGATATGGTTACTCAGACCTGCCTGGCTTCTAGAGCAGTGGTTCTCAACCTTCCTAATGCTGTGTGACCCTTCGATATAGTTCCTCCCGTTGTGGTGACACACCCCGCACACACACCATAAAATGTTTTTCATTGCCATTTCACAACTGTAATTTTGCTACTGCTATGAATCATAATGCAAATATTTTTGGAGATAGAAGTTTGCCAAAGGGAGCGCGGCCTACAGGTTCAGTGCTCTGGAGCTCTGTTGCCTCCTGTGACTTAGATTTTGAACTCCATGGTTAGGATTGTATTCTGTTATCCATGTGCAGGGCCATCAAAGTGGATGTAGTCACCTGACACATCCTGCCAGTCTGACGTGGGTTTCCTGAGGTCTTGTCCACTGATCACCCTCTCTTTGCCACCCTCTCAGGCCTGAGAGAAATGGAGCTGCCTTTTTCAGAATGAAGCAGCAGGTGTGGGGGGCCCTCACCAGCCTGGGCTCGGCACTGCCCTGTGGCTCCCTCAGTAACTACAAGCTACCCTGGGTGACAGGTAAGTGGGTACTGGGAGTCAGGGTCTGGAGTCTAGGGCTAAGGTGGGACAAGGCTTCCCATGAGGCCCCTGACCTGGAACCCCTGCAGTTTCTCATCACGATCCGGAGGTTCCCTTCAACCACAGCTTCATTGAGCCACCCTCTGCCGGCTGGGCCTCTGACGACTCCTTCTCTTCTGATCCCGACTCTGGAGAAGAGGACGAAGCTCACACCTACTTCGTGCCACCTCGAGAAGGTAGCCCCGACAGCTGCTCAGCCCAGGAAGCCTTGCTCACCACTGTGGCACCTTCCGTGTTCCTTTGGCAGATGTCTGTCTGTGTTTGTTTTCCACCACTTGCTGTTTCTGGCTCTGAGAACAAGTTCAGAACAAAGGAGCATCCTGTCCTCACCAAGCTTGTAGCAAACAGTAAAAAGGATGATGTCATGCTGGGTACGGTGGCACCTGCCTTTTATCCCGGCATTTGAGAGGCAGAGGCAGGTGGATCTTTGTGAGTTTGAGTTCAAGGCCAGATTGGTCTACATAGTGAGCTCCAGGAGAGCCAGAAGTATGTAAAGAAGCCCTGTCGATAGATAGATAGATAGATAGATAGATAGATAGATAGATAGATAAAAAGATATGTCACCTGACAATAGAGGACAGAATGGGTCATCATAAAATTCCTTCCTGGGGGAGACATAAGCAACCTCTACCCCTTCTAAAACAAAGGTCCCAACAACAAACCAAGACACGATGCCACCAAAGCGCATTCTGGGAACCAGTGAGTTTATTAGGTTTTTGGTTTTTTTTTTTTTTTTTTTTTTTTTTTTTTTGGTTTTTTTCAAGACAGGGTTTCTCTGTGTAGCCCTGGCTGTCCTGGAACTCACTCTATAGACCAGGCTAGCCTCTAACTCTCAAACTCAGAAATCCACCTGCGTCTGCCTCTGCCTCTGCCTCTGCCTCCCAAGTGCTGGGATTAAAGGCGTGCGCCACCACCGCCCGGTAAGGTTTTCATATAGAGCTTAGGTGAAGGGTCATTTACAGGGCACAGGTGCTCCTCCCTATAATAGGCCATATCTAGAAAGCCTTTACCCATAGGGATGTGGGCTTACCCAGCCACATGATGGAACCCGCCTCTCCTGATATTCTGCAGTTTATATATTCTAGCCCCTCCCCAGAGATCTCATGCAATTAAGATAGAGTTGGAAACGACAGGTGATAGGGGGGACTGGAGACTCAGGTAAGTGTCTCTTAACCCAACCCTCCATGAGTGGGTATAAACACTCAGCAAACCCAGCTGGGATAATCTTTTTCCAAGTGCACAGGTGAACACTCCAACATGGCAGTTGTTTGGCTCAGAGGATGGCCACAACTGTCATGGTTTAGTTGGGGCATACAAACAAAAAGGAGGGACTCTGAAGCTACCCATGGCTGGGGTAACTGTGGTTAAGGAGTGTGCCTGTTAGTAGTAGCTGTGTCCAGTCTAGCCGAATCAGTAGGAATTGGCCAAGTGAAAATTAGGCAGCAGTGATTTTTTTTGGATAAAATGCAGTGTGCAGTGGTTCAAAGCAAGGAGGAGTAGAGAGTAAAGGGTGAAGGAGAGGTGTCTACTACACCAGCCTCTCCCTGCCTCACTCTTCCCTGCCACATCTCGAGGCCTCTGGGAAAATTTTGTGCCCCAGGATGGATTAGAGCAGTGTACCCAGCTGAAGCTCTTCTGTTTTCTCCCCTGCCAGAGACAGTCCCTATGGCCCAAGAAGAATCACTAGCAGCCAGCCTTCCTGGAGGCCCCTTCCCTCCCCCTGAGGATGCCTCCACACCATTCCCCATCCCACGCACGTCCAGCCTAGCTCGGGCCAAGAGGCCATCTGTCTCCTTTGCTGAAGGCACTAAATTTGCACCACAGAATGGCCGAAGCTCTGGGGATCTCTCCAGCCCCATCCGAAAACCCAAGAGACTCTCCAGAGGTGCTCAGCCACGTCCTGAAGGGCAGGAGGGTGAGGAGTCTACAGGCCCAGAGCAAGCAAACACAGAGGAGGATGCTCCTACAGCCACAAGCTCTGGAGATGCTGGCATTAGTGACGGCCAACTTCCACCTGATAGCCGAACAGTGGCCGAGTGTGTGGAAACCACCGATGGAGGCATCCAGGAGAGTTCGGGGTCTGTCGCCACTATCTATATGCTGGCAGGGACACCCCAGAAACCTGAGGGCCCTGTCTGGTCTGTCTTTCGTCGTTTGGGAAACTACCAGAAAGATCAGGCAGCACCCAAGGTAAAGAGTGCCATCCCTAAGCCTTTGCGCCGATCTCTAGGTCGAAACCAGACCAGCTCTGGGCTGTCCCCGAGCTCTGGCTCAGCTCCAGGTGCCGTGCTCTCCGGGGCCATGGAGTCCACCGCAGTTAGGCCAGAGGAAGCATCCAGAGGTCTGGGAGATGGTGTTGAGAGCTTAGGGACAGTCCAGGATCCAGTCGCCGGAAGCAGTTCCCCGGAACAGGCAGAAGAGAGGGAACAGGAGGAGCCCCTGTATGCGAATGTTGCGCCCATGTCTGTGCAGCCGCAACACTGAGGACCTTGAGTTTGGTGAGTGGGAAGACTGTGGACCGGGATGCAGGGAGAGCGGGATGCTGAAGCTGCCGTGGACCAGATTGGGCTTTGTGCCGGGAAATGATGCCAAAGCTGTGACAGACTAAACAGAAACTCTGCCCTGGAAGAGGCGAGGGTTAGAGGCCAGCTGGCTGTGGGTCTGCCCCTGGTGGTGTCCCCAGGTGGGACTGGAAGGCCTGAGCAGAGACCCTGTGTAACAGGGTCAGAGAAAGGAGGAGACAGCTACAGGGCTTTTCCTCCATCGTCCTGGATTCTGTTCCAAGACTATTCTTTCTGTCGCTTCAAAACATTTTTTCTTTCTGAAATGGAAAACAACCTAAATATTTGACGATAAAGATTGATTAAACAAATATTTCTTTTAGAAAATTTATTTATTTGGGAGGAGGGCATGTACCACGACCTGCATGTGGAGGTCAGTGGCCAATTCTCGGTGGTTCCTTCCTGTCACCTCATGAGTCTGGGGATGGAACTGGGGCCTGTGACCCAAGTGCTTCTAACCACTGAATCATTTCACTAGCCATCCCTTTTTTGAGACAGGGTCTCTCTTACAGCCTGAGCTGGTCTCAGATTTGCTCCATGGCTGAGAATGCCTTTGCATTTATGATCCTCTTGTTTCTACTTCCCAAGTGCTGGCCTGTACAACTTGAGTTGTCCGTTTTTTTATAGGGCTTCATGCATGGTTAGACAAGCATGCTACCAACTGGGCTACACATTAGCTCAGCTGAACAAGATATTTCTTACAGTTGTTTTCTACACTGTAAGTGACTAGATATGTTATTCAGTAGTATTTGCTAGGCGGATCTGGAGAGATGGCTTGGAGGGTGAGAGCACTGACTGCTTCTCGGTGGACAAGAACACTGACTGCTCCTCCAGAGGGGCTGGGTTTAGTTCCGAAATCCTGGCCTCTTGAGGACATCAGGAATAAAGTTCCTTACAGAACACTCATGTATGCAAAGCACACATACATATGAAATACATTTAAAGATTTAAGAACTTGGTATGTGAGTGTGTAAAGTCACTAACAGGGTGGGGAGTACAGTACAGTTCCTGGCATCCATTGCTCTCTCCTTCAGTGCTGAAGACCAGGCTCAGGTTCTCACGCCTACTCGGCATCTGCTCGTCTGTTTACCACACCACTCATCCCATCTTCTCTTTACATTTTTTTTTCCTTAATTTTTTTTCTCTAATGTCAGGCTGTGGTAGTACATACCTTTAATCCCAGCACTTGGGAGGCAGAAGCAGGCAGATCTCTTAAGTTTGAGGCCAGCTTGTTCTATAGAGCAAGTTCCAGGACAGCCATGGCTACACAGAGAAACCCTGTCTTGAAAAAAAACAACCAGCCAACCAATCTAACTAGAAAAGACCATTTGCTGTTTTTGAGAAGGACCAAGTTTGCTTCCCATCTTGGCAACTCTGCCAGGTAACTCTAGTTCCAGGTCACCTAATGCCCTCTTCTGGTGTTTGTGAATAATGCAGGCTGTGGTGCATATTATACACATTTAGTCAAAACACTTGTAAACTTTTTAAAAAGCTATCTTCTTACTGTGTTCATTCTAAGGTAGAGGCTCTTTTCAGACCTTTGAAGTGGTTGCATTTTTCTACATATTATCTGATTATATTAATTTTTTTTTTTGTTTTTGAAACAGTCTTGTTCTGTTGCCTAGGCTGACCTGGATCTTAGCAGCCCTGGAACACAACAAGGCATCTGCCTGTTCTGTTCTTGAGTGCTGGGATTATGGGTGTGAGCCACCAGACATGTCTTACAATCTTTCTTTAAAAAAAAAACAAACAAACTGCCAGGCAGTGGTGGCGCATGCCTTTAATCCCAGCACTTGGGAGGCAGAGGCAGGTAGATTTCTGAGTTCGAGCCCAGCCTGGTCTACAGAATGAGTTCCAGGACAGCCAGGGCTACACAGAGAAACCCTGTCTTGAAAAACCAAAACAAACAAACACACACCAGGGTCTCAGCTGAGTGGTAGTGGAATACACCTTTAATCCCAGCACTTGGAAAGCAGAGACAATCTCTGAGTTGGAGGCCAGCTTTTTCTAAAGAGTGAGTTCCAGGACAGCCAGGGCTACATAGAGAAACCCTGCCTTGAAAACAAAACAAAATTAACCAACTAAAGATCAGGATCTCACTGGATAACCCTGGTCGGTATAGGCCAGAAACTCTATATAGATTAGGCTGGCCTTGAACTTAAAGAAATGTACCTGCCTCTACCTCCCTGGTGCTGAGATTAAATATGTGCCATCACGCCTGGCTTGGACTCACAATTTCAAATGGGGCGGAATTCATCCTTGTTCTGCTGATTTTAAGTGCCTTTTATATGTTAAGGATATGCTCTCCTCAATTTACTTTTTGTGTGCGGTATACACGTACATGTCTGTGTGCCTCTTACAATTCTCCTGGCCCCCCTTCTGATGGCCTATTGAGCCTTGTGTTGTTTTCATGTATCAAGGCTGTCCTTGAACTCCTGTTCCTCCTGACTTATTTCTTTAAGATTTGCCAAAATTCCTGGGCACTCTCAATTTAAAAAGAAGAATAAGAATAAAAATAAATATAAAAGAATAAGAATAAGGGCTGGAGAGATAGCTCAGAGATTAAGAGCACTGGCTGCTCTTCTAGAGGTCCTGAGTTCAATTCCCAGCAATAACATAGTATCCCTTACAACCATCCGTAATGGGATCCAATGCCTTCTTCTGGTGTCTGAAGACAGTGACAGTGTATTCATGTACATAAATCTTTTTTTAAAAACTAGGAAGATGGAAGAAGAGGCAGAGAAGAAGTAGTTGTAGTTTCATCTCAACAGTGACTTCTTGTTTCATTTGAAAAAGCCACGTAACTCCTCAGTTTTTCATCTGGAATGTAAGGATAATGGCTATATTCAGGGAAGCTGTAGTAGTGAAGAGGCACACAGGGTAAAAGTGTCTAGTATGAGTTTAGCTATCGATAAAAGGCAGTCATCACTGATCCTCCGGCCATCCTTCCAGCACCCTGTGATCTTCTGTCCTTGAACCTGGTACTTTTCACTTGCTCATGTTTTCCTTCTACACCTCATATTGGGCACCTAGGACTAAGACATGTCTGCCCCCAAGGAATTCAGAGCTAGTGGAAAATGGGGGTGCATATTATAAGGCATTATAGTCAGCAGAAAAAGAAAGCAAAAGGCAAAAATGAGAGTGGCTAGAGAAGGCTTCCCAGAGAAGGCACTGCCCAAGAAAGGACAACTAGTGAGAGCAGCACAAAGCCAGGACCACAGGATTCCATAGGAGTGGAGCATCCAGGCCAGGAGGAGGAAAAGGCCGCGGGAAGCAGCCTGGTCCAGTCGGTTGGGGAACTTGAACTTTATCTCCAAGAACAAGGTAGAGAGTTTCTACAGGATCTAGCAATAGGTCAGGCTTATCAAGGTCAGGTTTATATTTCCCACAATTCACTGCAGAGTAGATATGTGATGCAGAGATTGCTGGATGAGTAGTTGTGTCCCAGGGACAGAAATGGGCAGATAAGATAAACAGGACACCAGGTTATACTGGTGCAGTGGGGTCACGGGGAAAGGGAAGACTCATAGTAGATAACCTAGCTATTCTGTTAAGTGTTAAGTTCACAGTGTCTAACATCATTAGATGTTATTAGCTCAGTAGGGTGCCTTTGAACCCCCTAGCACTAGGAGGCAGAGGCCAGCCTGGTCTACATAGTGAGTTCTAGGACAGCCAGAACTACATAGTGAGATCCTGTCTCAACTCTTCCCAAGACACACATACATCTGAGAGAGAAAGGGACCACAATTTTAAAGGGGGGGGGGAGACATTTTAGATATATGTCTGGAGATAGTCCTCAAGCAAATTGCTTAGGGAAAGGATTGAAGGGCTTAAATCTATTGGTAGGTGGTAGGTCCAATTTGGAGCTTATGAGATTCTGCACAGTAGGTCATCAGGCCCCAAATCCACCAGCAAGTCTAGACTAAGGCTGGTAGAACATGCATTGGCAGGACACTAGCGAAGGTTCTGGGCACCAGGGGGCGCACTGGAGCTGAGGGAAGCTGAGCCAGGCTGCTGGGGACTCCCTCAAAGCTAAAGCAAGCCAGCCCTTGCAGTGTGAATCTGAGGGATACGGAGTGTTTTCCAAGGGTAGCTAGTGCCTTTCGTCAGGGAGACTCAGCCAGACAGCTAAATCTTTCGAGCTGAGGCTCCATCCTCCGTCCAGGCAGGACCTCAGAGCAGCGCAGCTCCACTGATGACAGGAGAAAGAAAGGACGGAGCTCTTTAGACCCCTAGCGATCTATCGCTGTTTCCAAAGCCACACTTAGACTAGATGCTCGGGATTGCTCACAGCATGAAAGGTGGAAGAGAGATTGTGGCAGCCACATGAAAGAGTCGTTTGGGAAAGGAGAGCTGGCAGGGCATGCAAAGGTGACCGGTGAACACTGACCAGTCTCAGAAGGGACCAAGAAAAGAGGGCATGGGATGGGGATGGTGACGTCTGAATGGAGGACCAGGGGCGTCTCGGTCCGAAATCCTGACTACAGATCCTTAAAGGACACCGATTAAACTCCAGGCAGGAGGCACCTGAGGGCAAGGATCCGGTGAGTCAGGAGATCTAGCAGGGATGCAGTAATGATGCCAGGACCTGGGTCGGGGTGTTCTGATACCCGTAGACAGCGCCTGGATAGGACAACGGGGGCTAGGCAGCGAGGAACCCGGACACAAAGCCCAAGGAGCAGGCCGAGAAACACAGCACAAAGGGGCGGCAATGGCCTGCGGAGCTGGGGCATCCGGCTCTGATTCTCTCCGGGCGAGAACGGTGTTTTATACTGCGGGCCGAACCGTACGGTAGCTCGCTGTGGACCAAGACTCCGTGAAACGCTGACCCAGGAACTTGACAAGGAAGAGGGCAACGAGAAGGGCGTGGGGCGATGCCCGCGGGGTCACCGGGTCGAGGGGCACTCCAGTTTAACTGGGTAGAGCTGGGCCTGCCCAAGCCGCCCCCCAACCCCCCCATTCCTCTTGTTTGTCTCCAAGTCCGGCCGGAACCGGCTTCTGCTCGCCGGGGGGCGGGCGGGTAGCTGCTGATTGGCCAACGCCTGTTTCCAGCCCCACTCAGCCAATCAACAGGCAGCAGTGTTTTTCATCTTAGGATAGGAATAAAAGGGCTGGAAATAAAGGGGACAGAAAAGGCGCCGGGCGGGCCCGACACACACTGGAAGGAGCCGGGTGAGCTGGACTCTCAGGATCCCGGCCTCAGACGAGGGTGCGAGAACCTGAAGCTGCTCACAGGCAGGGGTTAGCGGGAAGGTGCGTGCTTGTCAGAGGGACGACATTGGGAGGGAGACGTAACGAAAAGAACGAGGAG